AAAATCGGACGATTTTTGCACGGCTGGCGCAATCGCCCACCGAAAAACAAGCATGAAGAATAGTGTGAGCACAGTTCACCATTGGAGTAATGTACTCCAATCCCTTTCAACCCTCCTTCTGGCTTTCAATTTTTTTGGTCATGAGATCCATATCAGGCTGCGTTCATACCCTCCGTCAGCGTTCTGGGCGACATCACCCTTCTGTGCGTTTAGAGCGACCAGGAATGTACAGGTATCAATTTGGCCGGCACCAGCGTACACCAGCGCAAACCAGTGTTTTGAGCGAGTAGGAAATATAGACATCGGGAGCGTACGCCAAAGACTGCACGCCAAAAGCTCAAAACTGCCCGCGAAAATGCTCGAAAAGCTGACGCTTTTAAAACCTGATTCTCAAAATATCCAAGATTTCGTAGATTCAAAACGCTGCTGTACGCCGCATCCCTAGATCGATATCATTCCTAGCTCGGAACGCTATTATATGCTGGCGTACGCTAGGTCGATAACCATACTTTGCCAGTGGCTCGAAACGCTCAAAGCGCTGACTTACGCTGCGAAATAAGCAGGAGAATTTAGGCGACCTATACTCATTCAGGAGAACTAATGAAACGTATTCCACAGAGTAGGATTAGTTGCATAGTGGGTTTGTGAGCTAATACACACCTTCTTTGGACCTTAACGTAGTTGGGAGGGACCATTCGGCCACGCCTATGTGCTTAACAGGCACAGGTTCGCGAGCGGCAAAATTGCGGGAAACGGAACTCAAATGGGCACAAAAAAGTGCTGAGTATCTGATTAGCGGAGAAAAGCAGCAGAAAAAGCAGTCCGAAATGTTATAGAGAAAGATAACATAGTGGCTACTAGCTAGTAGCTAGCAGCCGGTGAGGGTCGGCATGGGCCTAAGGGGTGTCCATGGGCCTAATTAGTCAGCTTCTAGCGGAGTCTTGCCGTTTTTTCACTCAGCTTTTTCTAGCGGAGTTCTGCGTTTTTCAGCATTTTGAAAGTAGCGCAGCCTCAAAGCTCCGGGTCGTACGACACTTTTTGAGAGCCATAAGCCTTATTTTCTCGGGCGGAATGTGCCTTTAACTTGAAGCGCAGACGACCAGTGTCACCGACGAACAGTCTCGCAGAGGAGGCATAGTCTCCACTGAGCGCCTGAGCTTCGGTTGGTTAAACGGACAAAATGAAGCTGTCTACGAAGGCCAGTGGCTAACTTTCGCCAGCCAACGTTAGCCTGCTTTTTTCCATTCAACATTGCTGGCATTTGCCGCACGTCACGAACCCGAAAACAAGACTGAGAAGATGTCAGCGAAACATCTTAGCCGGCTAGCAAATGAGTTCCATCACGCATCCCCTACTGTCTAGCCAAACGGTTTGAAACCAACAAAAAACTGGGCAATAAAAAAATCAAGCTAGCATCATATAGAAAAGCAGTGAAGTAGCCAAAGCAACGCAAAAACACCAATCAACTCACAATTACATACGCCACCAGATCCTGAATCCCTGTACGTTGCGTGCATGATGGCCCGGCGACCCAGTTTCAGGGCTTCCTCATCAGTCATCTTTGGTTTGTAATGGGTATCCTAGGATACCATACGCGTTCAAAGAACCTGATCCAACACTGCACATTCGCAACTGGCATCTGTCACCGTCACTATCAACCTCAATATGCATTCGTTTAGACCCGTAATAGACTCTAAAAAGTTTTTTTCCAAGAGACCAACACATGTCCAGTCAAACTTTTGAGGTATTCGCGCTAAGTAGTAGCAAAGTCAACTCACTTTGAAAATCTGGGGTCCTCTCTTGTCATAGCCAGCAATCATGGATCCCTAAATTGATATTATTCCACAAAATACGAAGAAACTGCTAACAAAACAGCTAAAATTATGTAAATCGTACCACAGATAGACCCATGCCACGATATCCATAAAGAACATTGGCAAAGTACTTGCTAGCAGCGCTCACAGTAATTTGTGTCTTTTCTCGCAGCTCAAACAGGCTAAAACACCAACACATAATTAAAGGAACTCGACGGAACTACTGAACACTTACTTGCAGTACTTGGCAACAGTTCGCGTCCAAAATTGACAATCTGCAGCACCTCCTGCCATTGTAGCAACCATACGATCACCAATATCCAAAATCTTCATAACTGACTTTGAGGCTGGAAGCAGACAATTTCCCTCAAATGGATAGAAAAACATTTTTAAAAAGATTCTGAAAGAGACACACAGATATATTCTCCAGAAGAAGCTCGTGAGTCGACAGCGACGATTATGCCACCCTTGTCATTAGCTGTGGCAGGTTCATAAATGAAAGCCAAAGTAGTTGTACCCTTCCGGAACTGCATATTCTTCGCATCTTTACCAAAATGGGTTGCCACGAAGTCTTTGGCCTAAACTCTGACTATATTGAAAGAAAATCGAATACAACAAGAACTGGTGCTTGTTGGGGAACGGGGACTTCACCTTTGGGAGAACTGACGACAGAAAATTAGATTGGTTCAATTGACCCCACCTGTTGGCCTTGAAAACTCGTGATTCCGTGGAAAGCACAACTCAATTGATTTCCCATCTGATTTTCTGTCGCAGTTTCCCCCGCGAATCCACCTTCGCTCAGTATAAATGCCGCCCAAAAAGCCCAAAAAATAAGAAGTGGACTCACCTGTATACCTAAAGGAGGTTGCGGAAAAGCGAAAGAACTTATAACTGGTTCATGCATGAATTGCTGTTTAATGACGGCAAGATCCGTAGACTCTTCATCGTGTTCATCGAAACCGCAACCCCACATCTTGCTGTATCTATGCTGTATGAAAAATAAGACGCAAATAAAAATAAGACTAATGCAGCGTAACGGAACAGAAGGCTATTGCCTAAGCTTACGGGAGAAGGCTCCGGGTATGGGGAAACGGTTACACAGTGTGGTTATACCAATTTTGCATAACTTGTCCTTTCCCCTACCTAAGCCGACTTGCTCCAAAATGAAACTTAGCGACAACATAAACAAAGCTCGAAGAAAAATAGCGATTGATCAACGCTTTCGGAAAGAATTAACAAGGAAGGATTTGGAAATTCATTTCTTACAGAAAATTGAGAGTACCACATTGGAAGGATATGGTTACCAGTCAACATAAGAAATCGCAACTCAGCAGATAGGATAAGAAAGCGAATCAGATAGCCTAGAAATCTCTAACATAGCAATCTACTAATAAATAACAGTTTCCATTTGAACTTTTGAGTCAGCCCAACAACAAAGATTCAGCGACAATTCAAGATGTCTCAAGCTATACCTGAACTAATTTGAGACGACAAGAATTGCTCACATGAAATAAATAACAACATAATTTTCCTTGAACGAAGTGAAAAACCATCGAATAGAATACTGTACTAATCCCGTTTGATTGGTGTCCATGCTGCCGCTAGATGATATGAGAAATACATAGCGAATCCGTGGATTTGTAGGGCGACGGCGAAGAACACATACCATATTATAACCATTGGAAATACACCCTGAAAATGCGCTAATAGAGCGCCAAAGACGTACAAAACTTTTATACTGCAAGAATATCAAGCGCTACTGTAGTTCGGGATGGGGCATACGCAGGGCACGTCGTATATTGTGGACCCCCGCATGGGGATAGTATATGGTTGCTGTACGGAATTCGTCGTATTTGCCTTTGAGAGAAATACTGCTGACCTTTCTCGGTTTTTCCTGTTCTTACTGGGCTATTCTCCGCTCTACCTCCCCCTCTTTTTTTACAGAAACCCAGTATAGAAAGCTGGGAAGGGAAAAGAGGTGTACCAGAGGAGATAATCTCGAGGGTGATGTTTCGCGGAAAAAATTCCCCAAACGAAGGACCTGCCCTGGCGACGCAGCGAGGAGCACACTTCTGCGCGCTAAGACGAGGCTACACGCGGACTCTAGTCACTGCAGCTCTTCCAAGGCTGGAAAGTGGAAGGAAAAGGAATAAAAACGTTGCGCTGAGTGGTGCACCCTCAACTACAGCTGGGTCAAACTGTATTTGCTAAAACTATTCCAACCTTGAACGTAGGTGTATTACTATTTTCTTGGTCATTCATATAATCGAGAAGTTCAGGTAGTTGACCACCCAAACCAATCATACATGGAAGGATTCCGAAGAGAAAATGTCCATAGTAATGGTAGTTTATCAACTTCACCTGCAAGTTAGACCAATTAGAAAGCAATCTTCACCAATGAAAAATACGCAAGTGATAACAATGCCTGCCTTATTCTTCGAGAAAGACATCATAGCACAAATAATTGGGATGAAAGAAAAGCACCAGACATATTCCCATGGGTAGGCTGAAGGCATATCAAGCCTTTCGAAGAAAGCGCTTTTCCAACCGAATTCCCTTCGGAGCACTTCGCTTCCAACCTCAAAAAAACGCATAGCAAAAGTGCTCTTAAGACCATCAACCATAATTATGGAAGAAACATTCGAAAAATTTTACCTTAGCCCACATGAATATCAAAATGAGAATATGAGGAGCGAAGAACCATTTCAATATGAATTTGTACTGAGCGCTGAAAATGGTTCACTTCAGAAACACTCAACGACATATATGTGCTCCTTTTGTAGCCCCATTGCACAAGAATACACGAAAAGAACGGCAAAAGCCAAGCAGGGCGCACCTTATATGGAGCGACTACAGACTTGCGCTCGTGCTAAACAACGAAGAAAAATATGGAAGGTCAGAGAAAACAGTCAAATCTTGGGACGGTAAAGTACTCCATGTACCCGTTTCGGGCACTATTGAATTGAAAACTATTCCTATCCCAAATACACGAATTTTCTTTCGCTGAGACGTCGCCTATAGATGTAATTCGACGCCCTGATCACGAATATAACATTTATTTGAGCGCTGGCGCCATTATGCGCCAATTTGGCGCAACCACTTTTTTCACCAAAATCGATGAAAACTTGTATGTGGGGGTTGATTGAGGTCCTGATTACGAATCCGACATTTAGTTCCGGCGCTGGCGCCATTTGGCGCCACCACTTTTTTCACCAAAATCGATGAAAACTTGCATATGGGGTTAATTGAGGTCCTGATTACGAATCCGACATTTATTTTTGGCGCTGGCGCCACCACCTTTTTTCACCAAAATCGATGAAAACTTGTACGTGGGGGGGGGGGGTGATCGAGGTCCTGATTACGAACACGACACTGATTAGTAACTTTTTATCCATGATCCCCCATATGCAAGTTTTCACCGACTTTGGATGAGAAAAATGGTGGCGCCAAATTGGCCGCATAATGGCGCCAGCGCTCAAAACGAATATGATATTTGTGATCAGGGCCTCGAATTCCATCCGTAGGTTTAAGCGAGAAAAAAATTTGCGTTTTGTAGGAATAGTTCAATAGTGCCTTAATTTGAATCCAATTTTAACTGGTTTCGAATTTAGTTATAATTATTTGACATAATTGATACAGAGGTAGAAGTTGCTTTTCAGCTGCAGTAAGTTGTACAACTTAAAAGCGTGAAGCTGCGCGGCAAGTAATTTCAGCATGTGCGTAACTATTTGTCCGCGTTAATGTACACTACGTTGAGGAATAGGCGAATTAGCAGAAAGAAAAGTGTACGTATTGATCTGGACAATTCCGTAACTGGGAGAAACGATGAAAAATAGACAGGATTTTGTTGCCCAGCTCCGTTCTTTGTGGGATTACAAAAGAACGAAGCTGGAAGATTCGGAAAATTGTGAAAGAGCATTGTGTAATCGGAGAGGTAGCAGCGAGAGGTATACTGAAGTGGAGCGGGACGAATCGAGGAATCGGGAATCATAGTAAGTAACCAGACACGAATCGGTTTGTCCACTCCACTCAAGAACAGAACTAGCCATGATGATTAGTAATGTGCTCCTCTTCGCGTATTCTCCCACATCCACAAATCTCAGCGTGGGGCTGGCTGAAGAAGAACTTTGGGCTTGGGTGGGGCGGGGCCTCCTGTCCACTACTTCCCATTGTCGTGTCGAATTACCGAGTAGAGATTTATGAAATTTTGTGAAGCTATGAAGTGATACTACGTTGGTAGGAACTACTTGTAAAGAATCCCTGTCTACTCGTTTAAGGCAGCGTTCATACTTGTAGCGCTACAGCGTCGCGCTACAGCGCCGCTTCGCAACGTACTGCAATTTCCAACGTTAGGATGATTAGAGTTGCTTACAGAGAAAAGTGGGAAGGTTGCTGGAGTTTTCTTGAGAAATTCACGGTAACTATCTGACCATCCTTGACAGTTAGCTCCCTTAGTCACTATTTTTCATTTTTCAAGACGCCACCTAAAAACCTAACTTGCCTTGTGTTAACGCATTGGTGACCAGACAGTGTTCGCGTGCCTGTTGTGGGAGATAAGGCCATTTTTACGCTCCTGGGCCAAAAAAAGTACAAGAAACTGTCAAAGCTTTGTTGGGTAATGCCTCGAAAACCGGCATGAATCTTTTTCCTGTGATCCAGGCAGAGATTGGGGGCAAATTCGAAAAGCAGATTTCGCTCCATAATCCATACAGCTGTAACTATCTGACCATCCGAACTGTCAAGGATGGTCAGATAGTTACAGCTGTATCAGTCTCACCTTCCGTGAATTTCTCAAGAAAACTCCAGCAACCTTCCCACTTTTCTCTGTAAGCAACTCTAATCATCCTAACGTTGGAAAATTGGCAAGTACGTTGCCGAAGCACGGCGCCATTAGCGCATAACAAGTTGAACGCTGCCTAAACTTGTAAAGAATCCCTGTCTACTCGTTTGAAGCAACCAGTAGAACAACGGCAAGCAGCAAAAGTGCAAAATGCCCCCCTCCTCCCTCAAACCCGACCTTTGCGATAACAGATTGAAATCGATCCCCCTCCTCAAGAAAGGAACAGAACGTTACAAGCATAGACACACATAGGTGCCAAATGCGAAAAGATTAACAATTTCCAACCCTCCCCCTACTTAATACTGCTCCCTGATGACATGTTAGTGACTGAAATTGAAGAATGGGATCATGAAGCTGAACAAGTTGACAAGTAGGAACAATCAAGCGAAAAGAAAAATGTATGAACTGGATTTTTTGGCAGCTAGAACGTAGCGAGACTACCACGCAACTGAAAAAAAATGTATCAACACTGGTATTGTACCGCAAATAGAGAAACGTAAGACGAAGACCACTACAGTTCATAATGAAAAAGAACAACTTTGCCTATTCCAACACAAACTCCTCTTCTCTGTACACCTATATTACTTCTTCCTTGAGAAGAAGAAAATTTGGAAGAATATCAAGTATGACTAAGTAATCACTGTGGATGTTGTAATCACTTCGGATAGTTGAGAAAAAAGAACAACAACTGACCTTTCATGATAATGCGCAGCAATCCTTTGACGATGTTGAAAGTCAGTTCCGTCAGTTCCTGCAGCACGCTGACCACCCCGAGAAGCCATATTTAGTGATCCCGTTCAAAATATAACTATAAAGAACAAGAAATCCCCATACAAGTAATCCTCAACATAGTTCTTAGTTAAAAATACACAAAAACTTCAATGAAATGAGATATAAAAGCACTCTTCAACAAGTTTAGTATGAAGTGAAGGGAGGAAAGAATGGAGATCGTTACATGAAATAAAGAACGTTGAACGAATTGTAATCACAGCAGCAAAATCAAATTCGCAATGGAGCGCGTTTGCTGGTAACTTAAAAGCGGGTCTCGCGTGCAAAAATGATGAGTTAAGAGCGGAGCGACAAGATGGTAAAGAACACAAAACTGAAGAAAAAAGCCACTGAACACCCAACGGAAATGCCCCCAATTGAACCCCATGCTGAACCGCGCTTGCATAAGCTAAAGAAAGGGCGTGGTCGGACGAGTTCTAACCTGCTGCTACCAACCTTTCTCCTTATCACCTTAACTTCACCATTCGAATGGACAGAGCTAGCAGCGGAACAACCCGCACCATCAGGTAGCAGTAAAAAAATGAAAGATGGGCGTGTCGTGGCCAGTGGGCGGAGCCTCGGTCTCGTTGCGAGCGGATCGCGCTTCCTCAAGCATTTTTAAGCTGCGAAAGGGTTACATTCTACATGCTGGCGGACAGGGCCACGTCCAAAAAAGGCGTCTGCGCTCCAAATGAACATGGTACATGCCTTCAATATTGCGTTGAAGATGTTGGAGGCACGCGGCGCCGAAGTGTCGTGGCAAGAGGGGTAATGTGACATGGGGTAATGTGACAGTTGGATTTTTTTGCGCATGGTAATGTTGCGAAACCCTGCATATGCAGATAGAGGGCAGCTCTTGCCAAAGCATCCAAAAGTGGAACAGGTGACTTCGGAGTGCATAAACCGCTTTGTGAATAGTTAGAATATGTGAGGTCATAATGACAGGATACCGTACGGACGAGAGAGGGCAGAGAAAAACAAGAGATCGAAGCATGCGAAGAGATTGTGTTCAAGCTGTCTGTAGGTCGCGCCGCACTACCATTCTCTTTAACTGGGGAGATTCTACTTCAATCAGAAAAAGCTCTGGAACAGTAACTATATAAGTGCTCCAGAATCTACGGTACAGCGCAGGGATGGGACAGAGCAAACACCGTCCTGATGAGATTCTTCCAGCAATGCCATATCTTCCCCAGGCGGCGCGAAGATTAAAGGTACCATCTTCGGCACTTGGAATTGGTCCCGACTGGAAGGAGACCAGTCAAGTAGATAGAGGACGAAGGCATTTCAAGAAGTAATTACTTACAAGTACTTTTGCTCTCGCTATGGTTTCTTTGTGTTTGTTTCGTACTCGCTAGTTTCATTGCCAGGTTTATATTTACTTTATCCGGGATCCTCATTCATGGGTGTAACTCATGCAGCCACATCGAGTAAATCGCATACTCTAAACGCCCTATCAATACTGACTGTATCGAATTTATTTCTCAAGTCGGCAGTTGACTGATTCCCTTCAAGTGCTATTCTCATCCTTCACTCCATACCCTTGAGATACTAATCGACGAACTGTAACCGGCTCGCTTATTATTAGGAAGGCCATACTTAGTTCTTTGCGCCGTACTGTGACTGCCACCTAACACTTACATCGATTCTGATTTGTGCAGAGCTAGTGACACCAATCGGGTGGTGCTCATCGCGTAAGGCATTGTTCATAGTCCGCGACCCTGACGAAACAGTCCGGCGAAAAGCAGTAAATAAATACGTATTGATTGGAGAATCGCCAACCGCTCTGGAGAAACGCCGCCGCTGTTCGGCGAAAAGCAATAGATGCGTATCGATTTCGTTGGCTCCGCCCTAGAGAAAAACGCCAGCGTCTTGCCAG